TAGAAACAAACATGTTTAAAATAGTTTAAAACTCTACATCTCTGGCTTCATGTTTGGAGTTTTGTCCAAACTGACATCAATTCATTTTCAGGTAATTTGCTGCATTACTTCTAGAATTGGTCTGCATTTAGTGAGGTCTGCACAATATATGGTCATTATACCTTGGTATAAACAATCTAGAAAAGCCTGCTTAAAAAAAAAAAATCTACATTGGTTATGTTTTATGTACCAACCGTCAGAAATAACGTGTCAAGGAATTTTGAATCTAAATTGATTGAATGCAATAAAAAGATTAAAAAAAGGTGCACACTGGCAAAGATGACAAAAGATTGAGGAAAGTGGTGGATTGATTGCAACTTATGTTATCTTTGCAATATTTTTGCATTGCATTTTAATACTGTGCAGCCGAGTTTGGGTTCATGCATTCTGTTTGATCTGGCTTCTGCTCCCTGCTAATAATATTTGCTTTCCCATTGCAGCAAGATACAGTAGTCCACGTTGTGTACAGAGCATGTTCCCACTTACTGTTTGCATATATGGCTTTTTTCTTACCATCAATCCAAAATGTCCAGACTGCTGGAATCCATTGCTAACAGTGATCCTAACCAACCTAAACTGTGGTTTTCTGCAGCTCTGAGTTACCATGAGCCCATTTGTTAAGCGCTTTCCTTACCCAGCCTATCCGTTTGGACAGTAAACCATGCTTCTAGTCATGTGCAGAATAATATGCAAAAATTGGCATACTTTTCCTTAACACTTTGCTACTTTGTGCTAGTGAACCACATGACATCGTTAAGAAAAATATTAATTGAACAAAATGGTAAAGATATAAATGGTATAAATACTATTGCAAGGCAACACATTTTACTTTGTGCAAAAAATCTAGATAAAGAACAAGCTGTATGCTTTTAATGATCAATCAAAGCTAATAAGCAGATAAAGACCAATCTAGGTGTGACAGAAACAGTATAGTGTTGAGAAGGGCAAGTGTGCCAGTGTCAGTAAAGCACACTTTACAGACAACCAGGAAGTTAGCAAGGTATGAATCCAAAGACACAATGACCTTAATGGGAAAACGGTAGGCAAAAATATGTACATCAACCACGCAGCTGATCATTAGCAGCAATGCTTAACTCTCACACACAATTTATGGTTGAAATTTAAGCATCTTTCAAGATTTTTAACATGGTAAGATTGTTCAGCTTGGGCAGATTTAAGATGGATGAAACAAAACTACAAACAGGTGAAGACAGTATGTGACACATGGAGAACAGGAAAATCCAGTTAATGAAGTGTCTAGGCTGAAGGCCTGCATGTTTCCATGAGGCAACATTAGTAGGCCATAACGTAAAGGGCAGGTGGAATTTGGCTCAGTGAGAAACAGCAGGACAGAAACCAGAAGACCAAAGTAATGGCATAATATGACCAGTAGCTTGCTCTTCAAATGAACATTGAATCCCTAAAAAACTGCAATGTTCTAAAGCTGTCTTTCCCACACAATAACTGTCAAAGTAATAGCAGAGGGAAAAAGAAAGTGAAGGCAACCAACCGTAACACAAATGCTAAGTCTAGTTACCAAAAAGAGCAACAAAAGAACAGAGCCAGGAGTGGATGAGACTGACACAATGAGGAGAAGGTAACCAGAGGACAAATTCTCACCTGATGATTTATTCCTCATAAGGCGAACTTCTCTCGGTTGGATCCCCTGCTCCTGAAGTTGTGCCCGAATCTTATTATAGCAAAAGAAAGTAGTTGTAGAATTACAAACACAAAAAGGTAAGCACCATCATTCCAGCGATGCTCAGAACAAATCGCACCTCATTTGCTGTGGCATTTGGTGGTAGCATGCGAAGCATGATAATGTTACTGGGCCTCTGGTTCTGGTCCAAGTCAGCACGGTAGTCCTGGTCTCTCTGATCCAGTTCCTCTGCAGACAGGTCTTGTCCTATGTTTTCACAGCCACCTTCTTCTGCTGCTTCTGGAAAAGTCTTTTAAAGTAGGTTGTGTAAAAATAAATAATTTCTTTAAAAAAAAAAAAAAAAAAAAGCATTGCAAACTATTGATTTTTTCTTTGGACTTACTCTCCGCCTTCCACCGCCACGAGATCCCCTGTCCTCATCTCTCGATCTGAACTCTATCTGCTCAGGACGGGGAACCCAGTTAGCATCCCTCACCCCGGTGCACGAACCCCTGCTTTCTGGAAACCCTCTTCCACCTCTTTGCCGACCCCTTCCCTGCAGACTGCTCTGTATCTGCTCAAAGTCTTGTCTGAATCCATCATCCTCACTTTGAAGAATGAGATGTGCACCATCAGGATGTGACTGAGAAAAGGGAGGCCACAGGGGGCCGTTTCCCTCACGGCCCATGTCACCTCTTGCGTTTCCTCTTCGGTGAAAATGTGGGGAACCTTGAAACCCTGCTGGGAACTCATGAACACCTACAGGCGACTCATCAGGCATGTATAACCCATCATCCTCCATTCTGACTTCATGGACTCCCTCCTCATCCTCTTGCCCATAACCACGATAGTCCATGTCCCTGAAGTTGTGATCATTATGAGAGCCACCATAGCGACCAAGGCGATCGCCTCGACCACCCCTAATAATGAAAGGAGAGAAAAAAAAAAAAAAGCTTTTTAATAAATCATGAGGAAAACCCTTATGTGAAAAAAAAAATCACATTTACTCACCTCCGCTCATATTCCATTTCTCCCTCACAATTTCCTCAAATTACCAGTATCTTCTCGATGAAATCTTTAGAACATAAGATTATAGTGACAGCAATGAGTTACTGAGAGCATTCAGGCAAGTAAACAAAAGTAAAGACAGGTTACATTGCAGTGTTGTTGAATACGATCAATAGGAAGCATTTTTTAGCTGCACACACCAATATAACTTTGTTCGTTTTCTATCCTTTGCGACCAAATTCTGAAACAAACTTAAAAATAAGAGTATACAGTCTCAAATAGCTAATAGTAAATACATTCAGTTTGTGAGAGCAGTTAATACGTATATCTTATCTAGAGTATCAGAACTTAAAAGTACAGCGGTCATATCTGCTAGATGCTAGGCTAACCACCTTAGCATGAGGTTGGCTAGCAAGGCTACGGTTTAACACGCCGAGTCTAACGGCTGTCAGTTGTCACAAAACAAAATGCTTATTAGGACAAAACAGATTTAATACGTACCTTGGATGCTTTTTGTCTAACGACCCTTTGTGATATGATAAATGGAAGCGCGGGTGAGTGAGACGTTTTATTTATTTATATTTCAGTTTACCAAGTCTAAAATGGCCACAGGAAGGACGTCAGAGAGGGCGGGAGATAACCCTTATTCTCTATTTTGATTGGTGAATAGTAGATATGCAGGTACGCGGTTCTAAACATCTAAAGTTCAGGCGTTTCGTTCGCGCAAACATTGATTGGCCAATAATGTAGAGCAGACGATAAAACAGAATACATATTAAAGTCATTGGTACCTTTGAAAGCTTTTATATAATTTAATGAAAACGCATGCATATCTTAAAATTCCTAATACTTTACATGAATTACCAAACCATTTCCATTTGTGAAAACACATCTTTGGAAATAAGACCCATCTTTGCATCTATAAAATAAAGGGGGGGGGGGGTATTTAAATACAACTTTAGTAACAACCTAGGCTAATTAATAAATTAATTAAAACCTATGAGTCTAGAAAGGGCAAAAAAAAAAAGTCTAAGACTATGGAGTGCAGGATCTACAAACAGAGGAACCATTCATGCCAGGATGCTTTCCTACATTAAATACGTAAAGAGTGCATTACAGACCCAATCAGGAGGTCACCAAAACACAATAAAAATTGATGCACTGCTGTCCTGTTTCCTCCAGGAAGGTCGGTGTTCATCATTCAGTGATAAAAGAAAGGCAGCAAAAGACGTACAGTCTCTGGGTAGAAGTGATGTACCAGGAATTAGAACAGGGCACTTTCTCGGTCAAGATTCAAACCAAGAACCTCATGTTGAAGTGCTAAAGGCTGCATTACCATCAATAAATAACATCTTTAATAATAATGGACCCACAAAAAGATATTTTCAACAAAAAAACACTACATCAAGTATACACACTGCATACTTTTTTCATTAACTAGTTACTTACAACACAATACATGCAGTATATATGGATCATTACTTCTTATAGTTCTCTCTTGTAAGAACAATACGTTTTATTTTTACAGTTTCCACTGTTGCTGCTATTTAATCCAGGTGAATAGCAGAATGTCTTTAAAAAAAGAAACCACCCTTATAAACAGACGTTTAGCTTCGAGACATTTAATCACAGTGACTTGTCATTTTTGGCAAATTAATATGGGTTGGTAGTATCTTACCCAATTTTGTGGATAAGAGTAGAATAGAATAGAATAGAATAGAATAGAATAGAATAGAATAGAATAGAATTGAATAGAATTGAATAGAATAGAAAATCCCTTTAATGTCTCACAATGGGGAAATTCTGGTGTTTACAGCAGCAAAAAGATTATAAAAAAAAATTGGGCACACAAATGTGGAACTTTGAAAAGTGTATTAGAATAACATAATAGTGAAGAGTTTAAAAATGCTGTACTGTAAAGTGTTTTAACAATATAATTACTGTGCTCCTGGAGAATAAATAACCAATGTACAGCTATGGACATTTTTATAGTAAGGGATATTTGAAAATAGCAGCAACATCAGAGATGTGCAAAATGACAACAGCATGTTATCTAACTGACTTAGGTAGAAACTGTGCAAAATCAGCACGATCAGGTAAAGAAGGTATATAAAACTGGGTATAATCCTTTCCTATTTTGTTAAAACATGGCATTCAAGACATCAAGAAAGATAATTTAATTTGTGTTATTACTGGGGCATTGGATCAAAAATACGGGTAAATGTGGCAGAAGTGGTAAGTAAATTCAGACAAAAAAAAAAAAAATAGTAATGGAAGAAAAAAACAGAAGGTACCACAATCAAAATTTAATTCAGGATGAAAACTGCAAAATGCCCACATATAGCACTGAAAATCAACAGGAAACATTTAACCAGTAACAATATATTTTATTGTCTTTAAATGAAAAAACTAAATGATTGTGCAATATATTTATGATATGCTGGAAGAATTTGTGACATCCTAGTGAGGGAGTACACATTATAATTAATGGAGATGTGGTAGAGTAAAACCACAAACAAAAAAATAACCAGACCTTAATGGACTGAGTAACTAAATATAAAAGATAATTCAACTAATAGGCTAGACATTTGTGAATTCACGCTTAGGTTTATTAATTTGATGATTTGGTACAGAAAAAGGTCTTAAAACATAAATGTATGCATATGTGAACCCCTTAAGATTTCTTTTACTATTACCAGTTCATAATTCACCACCCATCTGAGCTATGAGGAAGGCCAACTGGAATAAATTTGTCACAGAAAGAAAAAAGTAAGTACAGTCATACAGGGAATAACATATGGCTTAATACACACCCATTGAATAAAAATAAAACACAAAAACTACAGGGAAATATGATAGACTGGAAAATGATCAAAATCTATTTTCTTGACCCCTTTTAAATGTAAAGTGGGCGTTTAAAAATATGGTTTAATACTCTGTCATAGTACAGAGATCAGAAACAAAAGTTTGTTAGTAATCCCCTATTGGTTCTGTTACTTGCAGACTTTCCTTACAAAATCATGTCAATGAAAGCTGCATTTTAATGTGTGCTTCAGGATGGCTCTACTTTTAAAAGTTTATAAAAGTATGCAGCCCTTCTTCTTGCCATGACCGACATTTGTCAATGCTGCCCTAGTTGCCATCTCAAAGACTTGTCTGACCCCGTCTTTGCTTTTGGCTGAGCATTCCTGGTAGCGGTAGGCAGCAATGCGGCGAGCCATCTCTTCTCCCTCTTCAAATTTAATTGGCTCCTGAAAACCAAAATCATACATTTGTGGCATTTAGTGGGACACATACACATCATCATTTCACACAATGTCACAAATAAATTGCTAAGCAAAACAATGGAAACACTGTACCTGTTTTATTTTGGCAAGAGCTATTCTGGTTTGCTCATCGTTACGAAGGTCCTTTTTGTTCCCAACCAGAATTATTGGAACATTAGGACAGAAGTGTCTCACTTCAGGAGTCCACTTCTCTGGAATATTCGCTACAAAATAAAAAAAATAAACAAGTTTTTGATCAATTATCGACATATATCACTTTCTCATATATCTCAGTTATATTAGCCCTCTGTTGATTTGGCACCTCAACATGGTAAAGGGCTTTATTGACACTTTATTGGAGCTTAGATTCCTGGTGGGGCTACTCATGGTTAATTGATTCCTTGGCTGGGTCAGACTGGGCACAATTAAATGGGCAAATTGGCAGATCGCACAAACAGATGACATCTGTCATGATTATAGGTTAGTAACATTAGGCCAATATGATCAATTTTGAAATGACCGGTAGGCTTACTTATACAGAGTCTTTTTAAGTCAGAGGATTCTAGAGCACTATATTCAGCCATTCATGCACCTTTTCAAATCTGATTGTGGCAAGCCAAACTGTAGCCACAGCCGCTATGGGGCACACTGACAGAGGTGAGGCTGCCATACACAAGCGTCATCCTGACCTCTGACTGCCATCAGTAGGCAATGCAGTAAAGTGTTTTGCTCAAGGACAAAGCCACTAAGACAGATGGAGCTAATGTTTGAACCGGCGACCCTCTGGTTGCAGGGTGAACTCCAGCACCCCACACAATTGTCGCTCCAAAATTGTATCCTTAGACCCGGTATTCTATATCTGGGACACTCAGGTGAATAGAGCTGTAAACTAATTACCACCTTGTGGTGAGTGGAATCAAATGGTCAGAGGCTATGGAGAAATAATTATGGTTGAGCTCAAAGAAATTATAGGAAAATCAGGTGAAACAAGGGCCATTCCAAGCTGTTTGTTGTTTAGGGTACAAACAGTAGATCTGGGGATCTAGGGATGGATGTTAGATTTATTTCTAACAAAAAATACCTAAACTGTCTGGGCTGTCCACAGAGAAGCACATGAGGATTACATCGGTGTCTGGATAGGAAAGAGGCCTCAGTCTGTCGTAGTCTTCCTGACCAGCTGTGTCCCAAAGTGCTAGTTGCACCTGAGCAAAAGAACAAAAGAGAAAATATAAGCAAAAAAATCTGCAGTTTATAGGAAAGTCACAAGCTATTAATACGATATGGTGCATTTTTAATACGCTTTATTGAAAAAAGAAACAGGTTATTTACCAAACACCTAAAGTGCACTGACACTCCTGATTTTTTGAGTAAAACATTTTGTCTGTGGATGCTAAAGCTAATGGGGTGGGCGGCCCACAGCTGTTTTAATTTCATTTAAAAAAAATTAGAATTAATAGTTTATTTATTATTATTATCATTTATCATTTTGAATATTTTGTTTAATCTCCTAACTTTCCTGGGCTGCTCATTGCTGACGGAGGGGTGATCAAATTTAACCATTAGAAGTGACTACTAGAGTTGGAGATGTTACTGTGTTTCTGCCTGTAGAAAATGTTGATAAAGCACCAAAATGGAAGGGTAGCACAGAGATGCTGAAAGAAAAAGAAGGCTAAAGGTGGACCACCTCAACGTACCAAAACAATATGTTTGTTTGTGGTTAAATATATTGAGGAAGAGGAAGATATGCAGGAACAGGAGGCGAGGAGGTCAGAATGATTAAAGCCCCCGTGAGAAGAAGCAGACATGAGTAGAACTGGCAGGACTAATACATTAAGCATTAAAATATTTATTCAATGTATAAAGAGAATTTTCCCACTTATAATGATACTGATATGGGATAGAGAGGAAACACTGGCAGGCAGTAACACATGTATATATATAATATATATAGCCATATATTTTCCTGTACAGTTTAATACAAAAGATGTGCAGGTTTATGTGTTTTTGGAGAAAATAACACCTTTTTAGGAGTTTTACAGTTGCTCAATCATATTATTACTTGTTTTAAAACACAAAAAGTAATGAAAATATTACATAAATAATATTGTGAAATATTTTTAATCTTAGTTGGGTAAAATGTCAGGTTAATCTACGCACTATAGGAACCACATAGAATGAAGAATTGACTTTTAATAACCAACAATCCACCAGAGATTCATATCTACACGTAGGTTGAAGTTAGACATCACATTACTCAAGATCAGATCATATGATAAGCAGCTGGTGAGCTCAAGCGGTAAGTCACCCATCCTGCAAACAGGAAGCCTGGGTTTTTACCCCATCTTGGGGGAATGAGCTGCCAGTTTGGGTCCTTAGGTAAGACCCTTCACACTAATGCCTGCTTTGGGGAGTGGTTGCCTAGTGGTTAGGGCATTGTGCTTGGAATCCTGAGTTCAAGCCCCACTCCCACAGACTGCCAATCTGGGTGCCTAAGCAAGACTCTCAACCCCACATTGCTCCCCGTGTGCAGCACATTGGCAGCACATTGGCAGCCCACTGCTCCCCAAGGGGATGGGTTAAATGCAGAGAGCTAATTTCGTTGCTCTGTAGTTGTGAAAGTGTAAAACAATAAAAGGTTGGGGAAAATAAAAAAAGATTAGTTACTCAGTACCCAAGTACACTTCATACTAAATCGTTTTTTACTCTTAATTTATTCTATTTAACCTTATTTTATATTTTAAAACAAGCCATCATCTGGAATGACATGTATTTCTGCATATCTTATAGTAAATCATGCTGATGATGAAAAAAATGCCAGGGACATTTTTTGGTCCAAGCCCAGCCCTGGGTGGTTTGAAGAACTATTTGGCTCTGAAAGGTCAAAAACATATCAATGTGTTGCTATACGGATTTTTATTGCTGAAGGAATTTGACAACAAGGAATTATTTTCATTCCAGTCCACAGTGATATACTCATTTGCTTCCGATTTAGAAGTAAAAATAGCACAATGTAACTTATAAAAAGAAATAAAAAATAATGCTTAAAGCAACTAATGGAAAAGCAAAGTGGTTTGAACATTCGTTTTATTGCCCAAAATTCAGGTTGAAAAGTTAAGAATTTAGCAACCTAGATAAAAAAAAATACAATACAATAGTTAATGTAACTTCTGTTCTAAGAAGTTCAAATAGAAATCTGAAGTTATCAGATATTTGAGTTTGGTTTTATTTCTTTTTTTTTTTTTAGAATAAAAATGTGAAGCAACTGAATTTTATTGACCCACAACGGTATTCCTAATTGCTCATAGAATGAACCAGTTGTTATCATAACACTTCTACATTATTAGTAGCACTGCTTACCTGTTAGGAAAATATGTTTTTGTTTGCATTTTTTGTCATAGTTAAGCCAGCTGTCTTACATCAGTCATAGTGACATCATCACTTACCTGTTTCCCATCAACTTCAATGTCTGCTACATAGTTCTCAAACACAGTAGGCACGTAGACTTCAGGGAACTGATCTTTACTGAATACAATGAGCAGACAGGTCTTCCCGCAAGCGCCATCCCCGACAATCACCAACTTCTTCCTGAGAGCCGACATCTCTGGATAACACAAACACAACTAAATTATAGCAGAGGAAAAAGCTATCCAAAGAGTTTCCTTCAATAAATGTACCGGTTTCAATGCCTTATCATTTACCCTGGTAGACACCTGTCACAGCAGCTTTAAAACAGTTTTCAGCCTAACCCAGGATGAGCCGGCTGGCTGAACAAGTACACCACAGAAATTCTTCAACTATGTTACCAATCCTGTTGAGTGCCTCTATGGGGAAATGCGGGCTTATCAAACTAAGCAACACTTTGCAAAAACCCTATTTAAAGTTGTCTAAACCCTGATTTTTTTTAAAGTTTCTTTCTTGAATCTAAAATGTTTATCCCAACCATGTCCTACCTGTAGGAACTGAAGCAACACTCTTCCCTTTAGGTCTAGAAGATCTCTGGAGTGAGTTAACAGGATGTTTTCTTTTTCTGTTCTACCAGACAGACTGGAAAACTCAGCACGCCTCTTTGTGTAATTCTTTAGTAGGATGCCGCACCTTACGCATGTTACCAGTGTTTCTTACTTTGTCAACTGTAGTCAAACAAGAACACTTGATCTTTTAACTCTCTGGCTTCAAGTTATAATTTACTTCAAGGGGCTCAAACATCGGCTCAACTTAATACAAAAAGAAGAAGTAATCTATCTTTCGCACCTAATATTTTAGTGTTAATGGATTAATTTAGTTTAATCTAAAATAGTTAATTTAAAGAGTTTTCTTAAGATGAAGCAAACCAACTTTTTCAAATTTCTTGAAATTGAAAAAATAAACACAATTCAATTTGTCAAATGAAAGCTCTGTGTTTACACCTCTTTGGTTCTTTTTCCTGAAAAGAGATCACTAGTGACACACTCTTTAAGTAACACTTCATAATGTATATGTATTAGATAACCATGAGATATGACAACGGATTTTTATAGGAATTGCAATCTTACTCAGATCAGAGAATTTTTTTAGGGTTACAGAAGGCAACTGCATACCAACCTGACTAACATCTCATGAAGTGGCCCCGATTCACCGTTACAGAACCATTTTATGCAACTCCAGTATGCCACATTATCACATTATTATATTATAGACATTTGCAGATGAGGAGACATCCATGGCTCCAGCCTTCTCAAAATATTACACTTTTTTCTTAGATCAATGACGCCGCTCTCATTCCATTCCCAAATCTTTGCCACGTACAGAATGAAGATGATAACTGTAATACAGTTACTGTATATTTGGACAGAGGAACTGTCCTAATTTGATAAACTTCACACAACACACACAGGTAATATTAGGGCGTAATAAAGTCACACCTAATCAATGAAAATTATTCAAACAATTTATTTTAACCTAAATATTTCGGTGAAATAAAACATTGAATATGTCAACAGACTTCTTAAGCGTCAAAGGAAAGATCATGAGTTTGGTTCCTGTGGATCAGCTCTAATGAGGGGTTTTTTGATGCTTATGTCAGGAACTGCTGGAGGAATCAGGGGTCAGGGTCAGGCTGAGACTCTGACCTGCATTTTAAAATATTTCTGTTTAGCTGTAAACAATGGTGAGCAGGGTCCAGGAGTATTGTGATTTGGGTTCACATCTCTAGGTAAACTGTGGACTTACCTGATTATGTTCCTATGAATATAAAAATAATAACCACAGACATACCTCTATACCTTAACTAGACACCGTCATCTTTATTAGCCTCTCTACATTCTCTTTTTCCAGGTGCAGACCCAAGTTGCATTCACATTAATCCTTGATATGGATACATAACCTGTACTTTAGATGGCATATTACTTAACCTTGACAAGGCCGACTGCTGGATTAATGTTGAGAACTTTTGCTTAATTTTGTAACACAATGAAATGAAAACTGAATCAGAGGCTGACTCTTATTTAATAACAGAAAGAAAAATGTGGGATGAATGTAGGCTGTATGTTGATAAGACCAAAGAACTGCAGTTTAGAATTAACTGTATTTTACTTATTACATTATTGCAGTCAGATAAAGTGACAAAAGCCTATTCGAGCTATAAAAGAGAAACACGTTTGAGGATTTATTTGTTGAATGTTTATTTAGCAGTACACAAATCTTAGAAAAAACTATTTAAAAAGTATAAAATCATACAAGTATAGGTCAAACACTAGATATTTTTCATACTTATTTGTAAATTCAAGGTAGCAACAATTTACTAAATATTCCGGCTGGCAAGCTTAAGCTACTTGAAATGTTCTTTTTCTGTGCAAGGAGACATTTTAATCTGAATGCCAGTAGGTCCTCCTAACAATTCACAATGGAGTTCCTGCCTATTAGAACAAACAGCTTTTAATTGAAGTCTGTAGCCAGTTTACATTTTACTTGAAACCTGAATCTGTGTTTGCTTAAAGTGAATAGTTGCTCTATTATCTATATCCCAGTTTGTTGCATTGCACACTGAACTATTATCCCCTCCATTGTATGTCATCATAAACTTATTGTTCAATTTAGCGTGCATCTTACAGTGCAGCTTTATGTTACCTTGATCATTTAATTTGTTTGTGCTTGATTCTTGTGGATTTTATCACCATTTATATAGATGAATTAGATATTTAGACAGCATAAAAATCTATAATGAAATTTTTAATTTGTCTTTAATTCAGGAATGTCACATCAACCCTGCATTATTCATTTGCTTACCTGTTTCTTTTTTAGCTTCTTTAATGGTTTTCTAGATGAGTTCTTCGAAACTCCCTCCTCTTTTTCCACACCTGTGGCTTCTTTGCCGTGTACAGATGCTGAGCAATAAGCTCACCTTTAGCTTTGCATAGTTTATGTTTTCACGCTTTATTCCTCTGCGCTGCATTTTCTTTTATCAACAAATTTGCATACATATATTCCAAGTAACTTTGAAAAGAACATATATTTTTTAAATTACTGACCAGTTAAAGGTTCATAAGAATTTATTTACAAAAATCAGCAAGGTGTACTTTTTCCTTTGATGTACAGTTCCATGTAATCAATCATGAGCTGTTTCTACCTTGTTTTAATTATTATATAGTTTGGGCTCATATAGGCAAGCATGACTGATACTTCTGTACAAATATACAGTATATACATCATACATATAATTACTCAGTAAGTGCTTTTCCTCATATAGAAGTGCATAATATCTATTATGCTCTCAATCCGGCCTGAGATCAACCATGTGGAGACTGTCATGGCAACAGCTGGACAAGGCCCAACGTTACATCCCTGATAAAACCAGCATGTCTTCTGTCTGTTGTTTTTTGCGGCTGATGTCATTGGTAATAAAACTGCAGCTGCAGGTTTCTATGGTCACCAGAGGTAAGTTGGCTCTGATTGGCTGCTTCTTCGGACTATTTCCTGTGAGCAGCAGTGCTGGTGCTGCGCTGGTAGAACAGGACATAAGCCTGACTCGTCTGAAGCTGGTTTTCTGTCAATTGGGTTACACTGTAGATAGAGAAAAAGGAAAACTATGTTAAACAAAGTCCATTCTGATAGGAAAAAACCTCTGATATACACATGCTCTAACATTACGGATTACCTGGAGTCATTGTAGAAGCACCATCCATTTTCATCCAAACAGCAGGCTGTGTAGTGGCCCATGTTCACAGTCCCAGCATGGTTACAAATTGCATATAAATCATACAAAACTGAGCCTGTGGAGACAAACATGGAGACTTTTCTCAGAACTAAGATTTGGCTCTGAAATATCTTAATTGACACATCTTAAATGTCCTAAGTATCATTTTAAAAGATGAAAGCAATCAGAAGCACTTCTTATAAATGTAGACATTTCAAATTTGATAAAAAAAACAAAAAACTATGGGCTGTAGTTTGTGATATATTTCCTGTATTCTCCTTATTTATGCAAATGTGTATCACTATGTCAGAAAATTACTAGTTAAAATAGTTTTACATACTGTGTGTTTCGGTATTCCTAAATAAAGCCAACACTTTATCATAACACACATCAATCTCAACCGAACATTTTTTGGTTTTGCTAAAAGCCCCACTCAAGTTTTGCTCAGATTTTAGAATTATTCCAGATTTGCTCATTGTGGTGATGCATTATTGCCCAATTTGAATATTACATTAAAACCATGCTATGCTATCAAAATCTGAAAGTGGCTAATTTTTTTAAATATGCAAATACACAAACGTTTTCATCATTTATTACAATCAATGCCACAATCAGCAATGTCAGTGTTACTTTTCTAAATAAACATTTTATCTTAAGTGTATATATTAGTCTATTTTATTGCATGCCTTATACNATTTACCTATTCCATATTATATGTTTCATGTTGCACGATTGTACCATAAAAAATTCCTAGTTTGTGAACTCCTTCACTAACAATGGCAATAAACCTGATTCTGATTCTGGTTTTCTCTTGTAAATTCAGATTCTAGTTTCCATGGTAAGCTATTGTTCAGCTCAAAGATCTGTCTGTAAATTTTTGTAGTAGTTCTTTTTAGTTGTTATGTACCATTTTTCACTAATATCTTGGATTTATTAGTAATAAAGAAGCTTGTAAAAGCTTTAATCTGAGCACAACCAGTTTGTGTGATTTTTCTTTGTCTTTACATCGTACTTTCTGTTAGAAATACTGCCAAGCAGCTGCAGAGGTTTAATAAATAAAACATGCACACTTATAAATGAAAGAAAAGTCTTTGTTACCACAGTCAACAGGTCCGTAAGGTCCGAGGTCCAGGTTTTTGAGCGGAAAGGAGACATAAACTGTGCTTTTACTGATAGACCATCTGGATGTGGTAAAACGGTTCAGATCTGTCGGAAGCTGTTAAGTAGGAATGTAAAATGTAATTTTGCACAAACATGACTCCTTAGTTTCCATATCACTTCAAGCATTGTTGCCAAGGATACGGATTACAATAACCTGAGGAAACCTCTGGATGGAAAGCCGTTTGGTGCACTCTGTACGCCGGTTACATCTGTCACACATCTGGGAGGTACAGAAATCTACATTATTAGCACAGATCTGCTAAATCTAGGAGCAAAAAAATCTATAGTCAAAAACAGGGTCCTTTTTTGTCCCTTCTTTCTTACTGGTGAGTTTTCCTTGTCTAGTTTCTCCTCCTGAGAGAAGAGGTCCAGGCACTCCTGCAGAGTGACCTCCCCTCTGGAGCTCCTCTTGGGGATGGGCAGGGACAGATCACAGAACACATCAAACGTATTGGAGTAGTGCGAGCAAACCGAGCAGTGCAGCGAACTCCGCAGCTGGCCTGAGAAAATGTCTGTCAAGAACAAGGAAAGATGAAAAGACAGTGTCTGTCTCTCAGCTTTTTACTCACATCAACAAACTGAAGACAAAAAGAAGGATTGAGCTCCTCACCTACTATTATACTGTCATCTCTCTCCAAGTGCCTCTTCCACATAGCATTTGCCTCTTCTGAAATTCTAAATGTGATCAGAAATGTAAAATATAAATTATATGTTCTCATGGGAGCGATCAGAGACTCGCACATCCATTTTTTTTGCTCTGCTCTTCTTACCTAAATCGGACATATTTTTGGTCAGACTCCTTCCCTGTTCTTTTAACATAAGGCCTGCGATTGATTTCAGTGTGCAGCTTGTCCAGCAGGAACCTGAGAAACTCCTGAGCGTCCTGCTGACTAGATTTAAATCAAACAGAGAAACCTTTTTTTTATCTAAAGGAAAACACTGCAAATCATTCTACAATCAAAGTACGACATGAATGAATCTCTATAACAACCTATTACTATATTTATATCTCTACCTACTACATTAGCAGGTTTGCTTAGCACCACAGTCCTAAAACTCATTGTTGGGTAGATATGTCTGCAAAGATCTGGATTTGTTTGCTTCCTACTTTCCATTAGGCATAACTGTTACCAAATCAAACTTCAAATGATCTTCAATTAATTTTAAGCATCGGCAAGGGTTTGTTCTTGGCTTTTTTTACCCCACTGTTGGCTTCCTTATAATCTTTTAAAGACGTAATCTGGGATCTCTTCCATCCAGAGGCGTAACCTCTATAAGGGTTGCCAGGCAGTAACCAATGTACACTGAGGGGTGGCCGATAGTGGATCTGCGCCAGAACCTCATTGTCAATCTACACTGTTCCAAAAGGAAAATTAACAAGCAAAAAATCCATATTTTCTAAATAAAGACAAACTATACTTTCCTGCAGCCTTTCCAAACAAATAGATGAATATATTTAAACTTTCTTTCTACAATAAAAGGTATAGTGGATAAAATTGTTTCACGTTTGAGTTCTGGGGCAAACATCTTTTCCATAGTCATTACCTACCTATTTTTATCAATAATTATTCTGCATAAAATGTATATTTACAAGTACTAATATCTACATAAATTGATTATTTATTAAGTTTTTATTAAAATAGTTATCTAAGATTTCACTGAAGACTCTTAGATGACTTGCAGAAACACAACTTTTTCTTTACCCCATAAGACAAAATCTAGTTCTGAAAAGAGCATGAATTCTGTATTTATAATCTTTAGTGTTAGAATATTGACGTGCATAACCACATTAACCACTGTGTTTTTGTTGTCAAGTAATTGTTAATATATGAAGATTTTTAATGTTTTTAATATTCCACTTGAGTATTACTGTAGTATTACGTAAATAAATGGTAGGGGTGGCCACAGGGGTGGCCAATAATTGGCTAAGGGTAACCATGGCCACCCCTGGCCCCCCATCTAGCTCAGCACCTGCTTCCATCATTAATCAGTGCCAGTATAAAATGTCTCAAATCACAACCATCTAGTAATTTCTTTAAGTTGCAGGGGATGAAATAGAGGTTTCTCATTGGTCCTAATTAGGTTTAGCACACCATCATAACTATATTCTCCAGCCACAGTCTTGTTATTGGCTTTCGTCCATAAATCAAGCCTAAAAGCTAAAATCGGTAAAACCTTTGATTGTAGGCAACTTTAAAACTCAAACCTTTATTTAAATTTTGTCATCTGAACAGCTTTCTTAAGACGGAGCTAATAGCTAGGTTTTTTTTATTTTTTAGATGTGTACATCAGTAGCTTATCTATACTGGATCATCATTTATCTTTTACTACTTTCACTTTCACATAAAATATTTTGTGTCTTATATTTATTTATTATTAAAGATCTTGTGACCTTTTTTTTATGATAAACTTATTTTAAATCTCTGCATTAATATCCATGTAAAACAAAGACTGCATGTGTATAAATTTCACAGATCTAGTTAATATTACTTTAGTGAAAGCCAGCAAATTCAGATGTAAAAAGACAGCTGATTTAGTAGTTAAACCAGCAATTTAACACAACTTGTGGTCTTTACATCCACTTGAAACAAAACCTTTAGTTCTTCCTGAGAAATGTTTTCTCTCTTTTCTGGTTGTAGTTTTTTCTCCTTCAGATAGCTTTTTAATAAGTTCTGAGGCTGATTAATTCCTGATTACCAATATATTTCAAGGTAAACAAACTATACTTCATTGTTGTGGAAAGAGATCATTGTTAATCTTACCTGTAACCACTGAAATAAGGCACTGCTTCTTTAAAAACACTGTAAAACTGTCGAGGATTCACAGCAGCATCTCCTTCCCTAACATCCCAAAGGCCTGTGAGCACCTGAGAGAAAGCTGAGGCAGGAAGAATAGAAACAATAAGAAACCATTTTTTTTTTATTCTATACGTGGAAAAATAAAAGATCATCAGAAACCTACTGTCCATGAGCTTTGCCTCTTCTTTAGAGAACTTCTCATGCTTGTAAGACTGTAGAAGGCAATAGTTGCGCAGTATTCGAGTGTGAGACAAACACTGGACCACCGCGTTCAGGAAGCACTGTTGCCCAATCAGAATGAAGAGAAATATGAGCGTGTTGGAGTCTAAATTAAGGTTTTCTCTTATTCCATCTCGTTTGCACTTACTGTATTCCCAATGTTTCTAAGGCCAACTCTCCCACTTCCTACAGCAAGCGGTTCTTTCTATGAATAAGAAAGTAAGAGAAATTTATCCAGAGGTATTGCTCGTGTAGAGTAACTGCTCTGCCCCGTGTCCTACTGTTTGACCCCTGGCTGTGCTCCATGTGACTGTCTGCCTTGACCCTGCTATGTTGACCTATGTGTAACTTTGTAGGACAGATTTAGCCTTCTTATGTCATTAGCATAACAAGCAAGGCTAAAAGCGGGTCAGTACGAGGCCTTTATCCTCTTAGAGAGTGCAAGGAGTGCTGACAGGTGCGTAAGCATGTGCACATTGATTAGTACTGTACCCTATTGCCTTCAAATTATCATTTTTTTCCTCTAATAACAGCTTAAAACCTCAATACAATATAGATCTACAGGAGTAATGTGCTCATAGCTAGTAGAAAAGTAAAAGTTTGATAAAGTTGTTGTTCACACCTCATTGTCGGCTACCAGCAGCAGACCCATCAGGGACGTATAGAGGACAGACTGGGAGATGTCTGCTGTCTCTTTCTGTAGACCCTTCTGAGAAACCAGAGTTCGACAGAGGGCCTCGCAGGAGCCCTCAACGTTGATGTCACTGGAACCAGGCATCCTGTTTTACTAATCACTCTCTGCCTTAAGAGCCAAACCGAAGATGTCCCAAGATATATATATATATACTTTTAGATCAAACCCCAAGTATTCCTTTTAATGTCCTCCACGTTTCTGATGAAAGATCAGCAAGATGTAGAGGGGCTGTGCCTCTTTTCAGGTAAAGGAGCTCTGCGGATCCCCTGCCTTTCCTTTAGAATGGCAGAGAAAAACATTTACAGCTGCAGAGAAAAGAAGAGCACACTTCAATCCACTTTTGTAAATTCCCTACTAGTGCAAAGTTTTGCACACAAGACTAATGATGTCACAAAAATTAGAGACTATTTTAGAAGAACTGAAACCAAAAATCACAGATTTAGCTGATTCACGATGTTAAACTTCCATAAAAACGCTTTGAGATTGATTTGAAACTCCAACACTTTCTAACATCCAATGAATGAGAACTACTTTATGCAGATAAAAGTAACCTTAACAAACCTTTACAAATATAACAAATAGGAAATAAAGAGCCGTGTGGACTCACCTGATCAGTTGGGTCTCCCTATCTTTGAACAAAGCGTCCTCAGCAAACTGTTCCCATCATCTGCTGAGCTGTTAAAAATGCATAAGGGGACGTGTACAGTTTCACTGTGTGCTTGTGGGATAGAACTGATAGGCTACCCTCTCTGCCCTGTCCTGCTGCTGGTGTCATAGAGAGAGGAGCCAAAGAGAGTGAAAAAACAGACACAGGGAGGGAGGATAATCAGCTCTAATCTTTTCGCTGTAGATGGTGTTGGCTATACATAGACGTGGCGTTGTGTGTGTTCCCTCTCCACCCATGAGTGCCTTGACAAGCTTTTTACTGTCAGTTTTTATTAAAATATAGCCGCATGAACATTTTCTTGCCATCTTACATTTACATTCAATAACAGTAACACTGTTCACAGTCAGCACTTTTATTTAAAAAAAAAACAAAAAAATGTTTTGCAATTCCCAGCAGTCTTTCATCAGAACTGTTCATAAAAAGGTCCATTTGGTGTCTTTCCTTCTCCAGAGACCCATCTTGACCCCCAAAAGAGCAACGGAGTGATCAGTTCTCCAGTCAGCGACTGGTGTGGTCTGTCATGTCTGTGTCCGAGCTGAGGCTGAGATCGGCTATGTGACACAGGCCGGGATCAGGGTGGAGGGAGAGCGGCGACTGGCTGGTGTGAGCACTCCTGTCCCGTGACTGTACGATGGCCTGGCGCAGGCAGGTGATCCACTGCTGCTTGCTGAAGGAGTCGTTGGCCTGCAGGCAGTAAGGGTTGACTTTGGAGCGCCCTCTGCTGCTCACACGGAAGCAGTTCTTCACTAGAAGGTGACAGAAAGAGGAAGGAAGGAAATGGAGTGAAAACAGTTGTAGGTTTCAGTTCAGAGCCGTATAACTGCTGCTTTCACATTAGGGTCTGCTTTTAACCGTCTTTTTTTGTAACCATCATTAAAAACGGAAAATCTCAGTCAAAACAAGATGAAACAAATTTTCCTCTGTAAATAACTTAATTAACATAAAATGCAATCAGTTTAGTAAACTTTAGTTGTAATTTCTTTCTTTATAAATACAAAAATGTGAAGAAAGCAGTTATAAATTGGGTTCAAAAAATCATGATGATTAAAAACTTAAATATTTATGTTCAGAACTGTCTTAAATGTGGATGTTTTGTTTAGATTTTTATTTTTAACTGTATTTATTCAAAAATAATTGTTCTTTGCTGTATCTAAAAGTTTCCCTTTCTCCATTTGTGTCCACATTTTTCCTAAGTTTAGAGATCATGCTTTTATGCCGTATCTTATTACTATTACAGTTTAACAGTTTATTTAACTTTTTCCTTCTATTATTTTCTTTGCTAAAGCAGAATACCTTTATCATTTCCTCCTGTAAACGCTCCCCTGAAGGTTCCTCCCCCTCCAGCTTCACTGTCCGGAATCTCCTCTAAGTTTATCAAGGTGTTGGGCAGAGGCTGCCGGTACACGTTAAACATTTGCCCGCCGTCTCTGTCCTCCCCTGGTCTGGTCAGCACCAAAGCCAGCTCAAACAGAAACACATGCAGCTTCTGTTGCACGGCAGAGAGAAGCAGGATGTAGATGTTATAGAATATTAAAATGGAGGGCAACCTTAAGAATAAAGATGCTTCATAGTCTGTTCCTACCTGTCCTTTGTTGGTCTTAAGCTCTCCATGGCAGTAGAGGAAGCGGGACTGGTGGATCTCCGGTATTCTCTGACTCTCTTCAACATAGATTAATCCTCGCCTGTAGAACTGGCACTCTGCTTCCCCCGTCTTCTTGTTCACCTCGGCCACGATGCTCTGGATCAGTTCCAGCTGAGGAGAACAGAACAGTGTTCATGTTTTACTGGAAGCATTGCTTTCATTTGCAAAATCAGGTACATTTTGTTTTATAAAAATTAAATGTAAAAGAAAGACTTAAGCCTCCCAAAAGCAAATAGGTGATCATCTAGCATATATACCTGTAATTTAATTATATTCTTACACTGAATTTCAATTTACTCACCAAGACATTACTTTCAAGTTTCTAGTCAGGACACAAAGGGTTATCATTTATCTATTGATCAATTAAATTAATAGATTATATTAGATACATAGGAGTCTATTTCTCCTTGTGCATGTTCTGTTTAAAAGTTGCTGTTTGCATCGCTCATACAAGCTTACTGTCCAAAAGAAAATTTGCAATTTTTTTACAATGTCAGACTCACCACTGGTAAGTGAAAATGAGGACAAGCACGTGAGACAGCCTTATGTAAACATATCACCAGAATGATTGACAATTAGGAGGACCACTTATTTTGATGATTCGCCCGGAAATAAAACATCCTTCACTATACCTTTAGATCACTGCTGATAAAAAAAAACACTTTAATCTCAAATTCCAGAGCATTATTTCTCTATTTTAAATGAAAGACATTTCATTTAGTGGCTCTTTGGAGGAAGTCAAACATTAGTAAATAAGTCATTTATTCTTGATTGGATTACTAAAAAAAAAGCTCTATGAAGTTGATTTTTTCGATAATTTTTCATCCCAAATGTATGTTTTTCCTGTGAATTCAGAGTTGAGTGAAATGAGTTTTAGATGAAAATTCTCTGTTTCAGAGAAAACAAATGATGGAAAAAGTTTAAAAACCAAACTGGATGCTAATGGGTATATTCACTGAATACAGTGAATCTGGAAAGATCTCTACCCAGGAGTCAGGATTTCCTGAATCCAGCCGGGTTCAGCACATTAACCTGTCTGTCCAGATAAATACGCTCGGGGCAAAGCAACTTACAGCATCAGGTAATGAGTCCTCGTCTGGGTGATCTGGAGGCGTGCACTTCTGTATCTCCTTCAACAGCAGTGGGTATTTAACCAGCCGGCTTCGAGGTAGGTCCAGAAAGTTCCACAAATCCAATTTCCTACTAAAGGAAGACTCCTGACACAGGCGCAGGAAGTGTTCGACTCTTTTCTGCTGCTTCTTGTGGTCCAGCAAAGCTTTGGCTCCCACCTGATTGCAGCAGTAGGTGACATAGGCCTCCAGGCAAGGGAACTACAAAGGGGAAGTATAAGAAAGTGAGATAAGAAAGTGCTCAGAATGCCTCTGTCGTGCTCTTGCAGCCATGTCAGCTGAATGGAAAACACTAACCCAGTTTAACAGAGTCGGCCCCACTTCTCCGACCGTCTTCTCTGAGCCCCGCAGTCGCTCTAGACGAGCCAGAAGATCTAGTATGAAATAAAAATGCATACTCATTATACTGGAGAAGGGACAAAATCCTGAAACTACAAACAAGAATTTCATCTGCTATTAGTGGTAATCCTAAATCCATTATTATACTGTAAGAAATGGCAAAAAAAAGAAACTATATATATATCAGTAAAACACGTTTGGCTCTTCCTGTTTACTTGGAACCAAAGACTTAACTTCATGTCAATACTCAGGAAATGAGGTGTTCTGAAATATGATTAGACACTGAGATAAAGCCGTTCATATCATTTACCTTCATGCAGCGGAATGAGGGAATCTAAAGTCCCAAAGATTTGTCCAAGCTCACTTTCTGTCATTATGTCCAATTTCAACATGGGCTCATAGTAAACCTGAAAGCATAAAAAGTCAAGGAACACTTTGAGCAAATATTCTTAGATATTAAAATCCCAGAGTATCCTGTTACAACAAGTACCTTCTTGACCAAACTGAGGTCCTCTATAAGTTGCCTCTCTCCCTGAGTCAGCTCATAGATCACCTGCAGAGGAGTCCAAGACATTACACACAGCAGCTTTAGACATGTCAGTGGAAATAAAAGATAATTTCCGCACGATGCTGCATGGGATGTAAACTAAGCGGAAACCCAGCATGAGCTCTCACAGCTGATTGTTAAATAACGGAAGTTGAGCCTCTAATGCCAGCTCACATCCTCTTTCCTATACCCATGCTGATCAGCTTCAGAGAAACAGAGTACAAGCTAGTCATCTCGCCCATACTGCAACCACAGCCTTACAGCTTGTCCACATTAACCCCACCTCCCAAACAAAGTGAAAAAAATAATAATAATGCCAAAGGTTCTTGTATTAAGATCCAGACCTCTTGGCGTTTGATTTCCTTTGCAGTAAGGTCATGGCTCTCCACGGTGTCGCTCCAACACTGGCTGTTGCGTCTACGTGGAAAGGATGAGGCCTTAGTGCGACTACGCAGGGGGGCAGGGGGCAAAGGTCGAGCATCTGTGCGAAAGCTGATGGATCGCTGTAAAGAGATGAGACATTGAGCACATGCATGCAAAATAAGGCTGAGGTGGTCGTTCTGGGGTACAAAAAGAGGTTTTATTACCGAAATAGATTGCCCTATGCGTTTAAGAGCAGGAGTTTTCACTGGTGTGATGACACCTGTCAGGCTGTTGGACTTTGCCACAGGTTTGACCCTTTTGTTACTGGGCTCCTGAAACAGATCAATGCTAAACTTTATAGTACTGATATTTAAACAAACTCCAAAAAGTTTCAAGAAGTGTGTAAGGTTAGAAAAAAAAAATCCTAACAAACCTCTGAATCCTTGTGATCAGACATTATTTCCCCCTCCTCATCTTCCTCATCATCCTGACGGCCAGAAAAAAAAAAAGTAAAGGTGAACTCGACGTGAAAGAAAGGCGTTAAAGGGTGCTGAAATGTTGCATGGTGCACATCTCTCATTTCCTGTGCAAGGTTTTCAAAGAGGAAGAAAGCTGAAACTGTGCCTCTGTAGTGAAGCACAACATGTCTGCCTGTTTTTTCCCCCCACTAACCACAGCTGCTGCAAATTCAATGTGGCAACAATGAAATAAAAGCTAAAAAAAACAAAATATTGCACAAACATAATGTATATGGAACTAAAAAAATGCCAATTAACATTTAAAAAAAAATCACAGCTGATTTAATTTATCAAGATCTTTGAAGAAAGAAAGAAAGAATCCTAAAATCAGAGTTCTCAGATAATGTTCACCTCTTTTCACAGTTTTGCACTCAGCACTGTGGTCACAAAGGTAAGGTTGACAAACTTCCGCCAGTTACTGAGAAAGGCAGAGATATGACAGTGCGCCGCTTTTCAGATTATTACTCACCTCCATAATTCTGATGACAGGTTCAGTTATCGGATCTTGTTTTCTCTTCTTCTAAAGGTAGAAAAAAGTTTTGCCAAAAAATGAGATCTTTTGAATTCGGACCTTTGATAAATAAGGGATAAAATAGCTTTAAGGGTTGCTCACCCCAGCATGGTCATAGAGGACAGAGAGTGTATCTCCTGACACAGACCTATAAAGGACCACAAATCATTTATTTTAATGTCGTCTAGATGTTTCAGCTTTTTACCGAATCATTTCAGCTGTACGTTGAGTAGTTGTGCATTAGAGCATGGAATTACAGTGAAGTGAATGAAAAAGTTTTGTCATAATCTACCCTTTAGTTTACAACCTTTAATTTCAATCCCAACGTTAGAATTATCATTTAATACAAGAAAACATTTAAAAGCAAGTTTCTAAAGCTACTGTACCAGGAAGTCCTCATTTCACCAGTCTCCTCCACTTCCATCGTCTTCCTTCTTTCAATGCATCCTCACAGAAATGAATGGCTCTGCTCTCAAAATGAGAAATAATCCAGTTGTAGAGGTCTCCTCTGCCCTCAAAGGACAGCGAGCAGTTTGCTACGAGCTCGTTTTCGTTGTGTACTCCTTCCTCCTCACTTTCTTCCTCATCTCACAGCAGACCACATCCTCTACGGTTGCGCATAATCACGTATCCGCTCTTCTCAGGGAGGAGTGTTCAAAACTTGACTTTAATCTTCTCTGTACAATCTTTGGATCGTCTAATATTGAAAATAAGTTGAAAACTTATTTTTAGATATTAAACAGCACATTAAAAAAACAACTTGAAATCGTAACAGGAATAAAGATTCAGTTACACCAGAGATGTCTCAATTACATTTAAAATTAAGGAAAATTATTAATAAGTTTAATCAGTTGAGGGATTTTCCATGCTGAACGTAGAGGTTGGTGATAAGCTGATGGAGGATGTGTTTACCGGAAACACTGTTCAGTAATGAAACTTTCTGATCAGGCAAACCGGGTCAGACAGGAAAACGCCTGAATCTGTCACCATCATGTGTTTCAAAGTCCTCTAATACCAACATGATCAGCCAGTTACACAACTTTGCGATACAAAAATCATTTAAAAAAAAGTCAACACACTTTTGCATGTTTTACACGTTTATTCACTATCACACTAAGTGCTCCCATGTCATGGTACATCTTATTGTCTTGCTTTTAATTGTTTTTTATCATTCGATGTTAACAAAATACAAACAAGAGTTATGGACTAACAGGTGTGTGCCAAATCTGTTTAACCCCCCCGTAACCCCAAATAAAATACAACAAAGAACACAGGAAATAAAGAGAATAAAGGGAGAAATAATGTCATGTGCAAGAGCCCCTCGAAGAGTGGTGGTGGTGGTGAGGAGGGGTGTCCTGGACTGGGAGAAGTATTCTGCCAGTGTGATACCATTCCAGTCAGAAAATATCTACAAGGCTCTGCTTTAAGAGTAGCTACTTTTTAATTAACAAAATGGATCTGAGGAATTAATAAAATAAAAAACAAATGCAAAATTGAACTTGAGTATTGAGACAAAGGTTAGAGGAGGAAGGAGCACGTAGAGTGAAGGGAAGGCGCTGGGGTGTGAATTAAAATGAACCTTGTTTACTGTGAGGATGGTTAGTATACATGGGGACTTAAATGGGCTTATTGAACTGTAGAGGCTGCACTACTACAGTATACAGGCTCCCATCCAGGACTATGTACAGTCAGGCACAGGTTTAACCAAAACCTGAGGCCCATGAAGCCCGCCCCCAATTTGGAACAAGCTACCCACTGCAGAACCCCCCTTCTCTTAGCACCCCCCCCTGCAACTCCGTTGGGCTCAGTGAGGAGCTCAGCGAATGGTGTATCTGACATAGGGCACTTCCACGTCTTCGTCCGTCTGGTCGTTGCAGCACAGCTCAAACACCAGGGCTTTCACATGTTTGCCCAGTTTCTTTTTGGACACCTTAGTCACAATCTCAGTCATCCTGAAAAATGGAGAAGAAAATGTGACTGAGCTGATGACTAAAAAAGAAAAAACTATTCAACATGAATGCAGATCCACGCTCACAAAAAAACAGCATTACAAGATATTTCATAGCACAACTCATAAAATGAAAGAATTTCCCTTTTGAAGTTGAACACCTCACATGCATTTGTATTTTCAAAGCAGGAAGTAGAGCATTTTATTAAATGTAAACTTACGGTAGGTCCAGTCTTTCTTTAAGTTTGGCAGCAGGCATGAAAAATGAATACAGCATGGAGACTCCCTGAGATAGCATGGTGATCTCCAACTTATGCTCATTCTGACAAAGAAAAAAAAAAACTAAATTAGTTACATGCATCAAAACAAACATGGAGTCAAGATTTAGAAAATGAAGTCAACACACTTTAAAGTAATCAAGGAATTGTCGGAGTGTCATTTCCTCCCCAGTTGGCTGCACACCCTTGACCTCGAAGCGATCCCAGAGAGTCCAATCAATCTCATAGTACTGCAAATAAACCAGTAAGATTTTAAGTGAAGTCAGTTATCCAATACATCCATCTCTACCTGCCGGTTCACTAAGTAACAGGTTTGTCAAGGTACAAGTTTTACATTTCTCCTCAGCACACACTGATACCATCAGCGTGAGAAGGTCAGTTAAACTCACTTGCATCCCGGCAGACTGCCGAATGCATCAGTATTAGCATGGCTGAATCATCATTGGAGCTTTATGGGATTTAACTTTGCCTTTAGGTGTATTGTGGTGAGCTTACCTTGTGTTTGGGAGCAGCAATGGGCTCAGAGAAGGCAAAGAACGGTAGGGCCAAGTTCATGAAGCCGTTTTTGAATGATTCCAGCTTTTTATGTCCTTGGATGATCTTGAAAAGCTCCAGGCAGACAAGGCCGACCACTGCAGCTGTAGTAGTGGCAATAGCCGGAATGATCTTGCCAGCAATCAGTTTGCTCTGGATGGGACAGTGGCACATTAAAGAATAAAAGAATGAACAGGCCTGCAGTTACACCAAAAACTCAAAATGTCAAACTATCTCACAAAAGCAAGACAGTGGAGAAAACTTTGCAAAGTTCATCTATGGAGGATGGTCGTTTTATCAGATTCCAAGAAATGTTTCCCACCTTATGCCTGTCAGCAGGTGGAATGTCGTAGTTCTCTGCTCTCAAATTGGAGGCAGCCACAATGAAATCCATGTGGAAGTTTGTATCGTCATCCTGTTAAACGTAAAAAAAATTAATAAAAAGTTTACAGTAAATGTATTGTATCGAATAGCCCACTTAATGAAACTTCTGCCTGCTGTGCTAAGAGTGAAAGCTAAAATATTAGCCATCCTGGAAAACTTTACATAAAACCTTGGCAGTAGTATACCCCCAAATAGAGAACAGATTTTTATCATAACCAATTTTACACCCGCTGACTTCAACACTGCCGCCAATAAAAGCAGTTAATAATTTTTAGAAGAGCATTTTCATATTTTTCACCCACCCCAACTGCATTCCTCATAGAATATTGAGACCGTACATGAATTACCTTTTCAAAGTCGATGGGGCTGAGTTTGAATTGGAATGATTCTGGGGTAGGCAAATGAGACTTCAGTTCTTCCAATTTGGAGTCATCTGTATGTCAAGAGATGTAACAGATTACTAAAAGAATTCAGAGCTGAAATGAACAAATTTGTTTCATTTTTCCAACTTACCAACAGAGGAATTGCTATTTTGCAGCTCCTGGTCAGAGACATGGATTTTAACCCCTGAGCGAGGAGTAAAAACTGGCACTTTGACCTCCTGCAAGATCTTGATCACACCTGCTCGGTCGGTGCTGACTGGCAGGCCATAGGACTGGGCAAAGAGGTTTGCAGCTGCCATTACATAATCCACATGGAGGTCCTAAATACAAAGGAGAGAATAAACAACATTTTTATTTGCACATTTGAATAATAATAATGATAATAATAACAACAACAATCTGTTATTCTGAGGGTAGAAATTCTGGAAATCCTCCTTACATTGCTAGTGCTGAATTCTAAGGGGTGGGGACATCTCTTTGGGCCAGACCAGAAGGGGGCGCCTGAGCTGGTGAGCTGCAAAAGAATCACAGAAGTTTGAACAAATTAAGGCACTTGCTCTGCAAATCAGAAATCTTAGGCTTGTCTTAGCTTTTTGAAATGAAAAAAAAAAAGTTCTTATTTTTAAGCAGAACTATAGGAAATTGTTTTAAGAATTCAAGAAACAGGATTTTCAAAGTTTTAATCTAGAACGAGTTTCAAATACTTAAATATAGTTGAAATCTCTTCGAGTCAAATCCTTATCAGCTTATTAACTCAAAACAGCTGCAAAGTTTTCTGGGCTCCTTAATCCCAGAACACGAGGTCTGGCAATTTCAGACCCCCTCCATGACTTCTAAGATCTTGCTATATACAGTGAGGAAATTGGGTATTTGAAAATCCTGCTATTTTGCAAGTACTTCAACAGAGATAGGAGTTCAGCAGGGCAGAAAACAGGTTAAGTAAAATAGTGGTCCTCTTTGAGCCTCACAAGAGATTGCAGGTAAGCGCAGCTTATCACTCTACCCCCTTTATGAAAATAAAACTCAAACTTCACAGATCTCTCTGAGAATCACTTCTCACCACTTCATCCAGTACCCATATTAACAACCCTACAGCCTTTATTGCTGCCTTTTCCTTTTTAATTTTAACTATAAAATTTGTCTCTGGTTGCTGCACAGACTAACAAAGTGGAGCTTTGCTTTGTAGCTGGGCCGGTCGTTTTGTAATTACATAATTTGTCCCAAACAAATATGGGGTTATCGTTTCAATTCATACAACAGAGACAGAAGTTAAAAATCATCACAGATCTAAATCTGCTTATCATTTATAGTTTGAGAAAAAAAACAAAAGAATGATTGGAGATTAACAAGTCAGATACAACCGGTGTGACCCGAGACCTAAATGTCATTAGGAGACACAATCATGTGGAAGACTGCTGACTGGACAGAAGACAGACACCCACTGTGAAGGATAGGGCATTAAAGGTCACTGCTCAAGGAGCTGGCTATCAGAATCCAAGCAGATCCATAGAAGGTTAAGTGGAAGGAAAAACTGTAGTAAGAAAATGGGAACCTGCGACGGGGTGGGGGGTAATAAGGAGTGGACTGATGCTTGAGTTAGGAGCAAATGAGTGTGGACGATTCTGATGCGTTTGGTTAGTTGTAACCTTTGATCGATATGTCAGAAAAGTCACCTAACCTTAACCCAAGGAAACTCAACCAGCAAGAGACAAAATAAAATGTCAAATTTGATCAGCAATATTCACTCTTGAGGTTTACTCATGTAATACAAAAAGATCATTTGACAGCAGAAGACAAAAAAAAAAAGACAAAGGACTTCCTTAAGCCTTTAATAAATTCTTTAAAACTTAGACGTTTTAAGAGACACTTTAGCTTTTTGCTATGAATCAGTTAAAATTTAATCCCAAGGATTTAAAAATTATGAGTGCAAAGGTGACCATTATTAACCCAGGTGTGAGCATCAAAGAGAATATATAGAAGGCAGAGGTAAGAGAATTATAAATATGCGATTCTGATCTGTTGGCAGTGGTTGACTGATGTGTTAGGGCCATCATAACGTGTGAATGGTCCAGATAATTGTGCA